TCTCCCTGGATTCCTCCACATAGATTTGCCTTATGACCACATTTCTCCACTTGACCACACTCGACCTTTGTTACTTCTGCTACAGTAAACCGTTACTCTGCAGATCTGTGGTCGTTGTGGTCTTTGCTCGTTCATTTTCACATATCCAGCGAATGCATGCTGAGTCTACAGCTCTGATGATGTCTTATCAATCCCAGTGTTTCCATAGTTCAGCTGAGTAGAATACAAAGCGTCTTTGGTGCCACTGACACAAACAGGTGGGTTTAGAACGAGTATTATGAAGAAGAGCTGCAACATTTAGTTCAGTATCTTGTTGATTGATGGAAAAATTGGCGGTTTTGATGATTGGACTGAATTGAATTATATTATTTTTAAAGTAAACCTGCCAAAAAAGCATGTTCCAGCTTTTCAAATGTAGAGATTTGAGGATTTTCTTGCCAGATGACTGAAATATTATTGGTTGGACAACACAAGTGATTTGAAGACGTCATCTCGAGCAGTTTGAAACTGTTTGTTTGAGACAAAACAACTAAGCAGCTTGCACATTATGTAATAGTGAAACACCATTCTTAGTTGCAGCCCTACAACAAAGCATGACACAGCTAAGTGTGGAACATTTTTGAAGCGAGCTTCCAGCAGCCGTTAGAGGACCTTTACATCAGGGCCCTTTGCTCTTGTGGCTGTCTCTTAGATTAGCGGCAAAACAACAGCTCCACGACTGGGAATCTCGACAAAAGAGCTGAGTCTTGAATCTGCTCCAGACAGAGCGGCTCGGTTTTTACAATGTGTCCTTTGTAGGGGGTGTTCTCGCCTGCCTGCATTTGAATGTTAAGTGTAGCCAATGCAATAAAACATCTTGAGTGAATCCCTGAATGTCCTGGCCCAGATCGCACATTAGAAATCCGTCACCTGATCGTTGTCGGTGGTGGAGAGTAGAGGAAAAGGCCGATAGTTCTAATGATCAGTCTGCTTCACGCAATGTAACAGCATTAGTCTCAGCATCACCTGCTGACAGCACTACTTTTATGTTTGTCTCCATTGTGCAGTCTCTTATGCCCTGTGTGGTCTCTACCTCCTGGTCAATCAGCAAACTCTATATATCCGGATGTAGGAATAGGAAGCCTACTCACTCGCATTATAGGAGCAGCCTCTGTACATTAACACAGGAACCATTAGGCCAAATAGGTGCCTCCCCTCATGGCAAGATTCCAGTCCCCTCTTAACGCCCTCAAGAGGGTCGAGCAATTGTTTATGCTGTGTTTGTCCAGCCTCCTCTGGGATTTAAAAGATTATATATTTCAAGATCTAATATTCCTTCTCCTTCTCGCCCTTAAATCAGATGTGTGTGTGTGTGTGTGTGAGTTTTTCTACAGTGCAAAAAAGATTATTTCTCTCTGCTGCTTATCAATGGTGCTTTTGATATCATCTCTGCAACAACACAGATGATCGTCATATGAGTGTGGGTGTGTATGTTAGTTTCGGTAGGGGTGCAACACACACACACACAAATGAACAAACGTGCTGCTGCCGAGCACATTTCCATCTGAGATGAAAGCGATTTATGGACTCAAAATGACAATTTATGTGAAGAAAGACGATCTGCTGGGAAGAGAGTGAAAAAAACCAAATCCTCTTCTGCCTTATCTGTCGTGACAAAGCAGTAAGGACGGAGGGGATGTAATGAGAGATAGTTAGAAAGAAAGAAAAAGTGACTATCCAGGAGGAAGAGAGACGGCAGAGATTAATAGAGAGAGAAAAAAAACACACAGAAGACAGAAAAGGGCAAGGTGGAGTGCGTCGTGTTATCTAATAATATCTCACGTCTCAGAGCCCAGATGTTCCTACTTATCGCTACGCCTGCTTAGCAAAGCTTTTACTTCCACTTCCTCTTCCACCGAGTATTACCATCTTCAGCACGAAACCGTAACTGCAATGTGCAGCGTTCATTTTCCAGGGGTGGCTTACTGGTCTGGTTTTATAACCAAGGATTTAATGGTTCGTTAATGACAGCGAGGTCGGTGAGGGTAATTAGCAGTATCCATCACTGAGGGGCTGCTCGCTCCGAGCAGGATATGAACCCATGAGGAGGCCGGCTGTCCTCTGGTAATGATGTTGTACCACCCGGTTGTGCCATTGAAATGTTCGGAGATTGCTTCCACGCAGTAGCAGAATTTATGCTGCTACAGAGAAACGTCTGAGTAAATCAGATGTGTCCGCTAAAGCCTACAGAGGAAATATCATGGCTTTAAGCTACATGTTGATGAGTTCGATGATGGTAAAGTTGTGAGCCGCAAAACTCAAGCAATGACCCGAGAGATGCTGTAAAGACGGGAAACGCAAAGTTAGCTGATGATATGTTTTCCTCTGCATTTGTCTGGATTACTAAAGAACTACTGGAGGGATTTCTACAAAACTTGGTGGCAAGATGCCGTATGGGTCAGGAGCAAACTCATTTAATTTTGGTGCAGCTCCGGATCAGGAGGCGGATCCAGGATTTCCTTCTTTCCACTTTCTTTAACGTTGTGAGATAGGACTTTTTGCCATCTTTGTTGATTTCCCAGGGAATAATTCATGGAACTTGATGAATGAATGAAATGTTGAAGGGACTAATGTATGAGTTTGTGCCATTTGGTGTAGATACAAATAAAAACCTGGATCTAGTGAATTTAAATGTGATTTTATAAGGGGACTGGGGATGTGCCATTCGTGTTCTTTGTGGATTTAAATGACCCCTTCCACATACAAGTAGTCATGTGATCCATTAATATAAAACTATTGATTAGAGCCACTTTGATAATGTGTCCGTGGTGGGACCTGACTTGAAGATTGCTGTTGAGATGGATTTGTGCCACATCAGCTTTTTTGCCTGGATATCAGCAGCGACACTGTAATGTCACTTGGACGTCCTTTGCCTATTTTAAGTGTTTTTATCAGGGCTGTTTGTGACTGTGCTCTTTTTAGAAGCACAGTTACACACTTTCACTTCAAAGAGCGGCTCCGTATGTGAACATTTTCTCACAGTCCTGGATTTCAGGCCTTCGGAGCTTATACTGAAGAGCACTTTGAATGTAGTTGGTCGTAAAGAGTTTTACTCGCTCACATTTTTCACTGACAGTCCAAGATAAGGAATGAATGACCTTCTGCTTACCAGCCCATTTAGCCTATCTAAATTGGTGAAAGTAGATCCATCCCAGTGCCCAGCCTGCCAGACTAGGAGACAGTGAACACACACACACACACACGTGCACGCTATCCATCTTTTTGTTTCAGGCGTACAATGCTAAAACAGACTACAACACACAAAAGGCTGCACATATTCAAACAAACAGATACACACGGTCATACAAGCACACAAAACACACACACACACAGACATGTGGCTGTCCAGAGTCATGATGCCGGATGATGATTGGGTGGACAAGACAAGTGCTGTCAGCTCCAGAGCGAGTTGCTGACACAACACAGAGTAGCCGAGCGGATATAGACCCTCAGCTTGCACACGGGCGGGCTGAGGCCTATGGCGGATTTGACATGTCACCCACACACATGACAAAAATGACAGAACAAACGTTAAACAGCAGCAAATATGTGCCACTGATAAGTTAATTCTTCCACCTTTTGTTGGTTTGATTTTGATTTTCTCACTTAAACTAACAGAACTCCTCATCGCTCGTCGTATTTCCAACAGATTTTTAATGCTGCACCTGCTTGGGATTGAAATGTGACTCCAGCTTGTAACATCTACGATGACATGTCACATCTAAGTTGATAACTTTCACTTAACTTATTGTCCCTGCAGCATCGAACAGGTAGGTCTCCCTCTGGCTGTTTTCAGTGATAATCAGATACTTGACGTCCTGCATCCTTCGAGGACTCACACGAGTTCTCTCAGAAATGTAATGGGTGTGTTATGTTTGTCGACACTATGCTGTCGTCTTGTAAACAAAGATGTTGTCCGCACAGTGACATCGGCTCACAGGACGTAAAAAAAAAACCTGGAGAGACACAATGGACACCAGACCAAACAAAAACACACTCTTTGTGTGCTTGCACAGGGTTACCTGCTGTGATCAAACATCATTACATCATCAAGTGGAAATAGCTCCACAACATAAACACAAGCCTACGTGATATTCTGAGAGGATGGAGAGAGAGAGCAGACTCCATCACCGGTGGCAACCAGAGCAGAGAGTCATCTGGTGCCAAACCAGGATGAAGCACGGTCTCATATACTAAAGCCAACGTGCCCGGCCCACTGCACATTGTAAATTCCAGACAGGAGTATGTAATGGCCAAGGTTTATCAGCTCATGCGCGCCATGTTGGAGCAGACTGCTCACATCAGAGCACCAGAACACCCTGTTGTACCCTCCTCTGCCTCCCTGCTCCTGCAGCCAGGCAGCATCTCCCCTCTCTCCCTCTCTCTCTCTCTCGTGCAGCAGCGGTGGCGCACGGCTGCATGGCGCCACTGGAAGATTCAGACATCCTGAAAACCCTGGGCTCGCAAAACAGATCGATGATACACGATGGATCCTCAAACGCGTAAACATGTCATCCAGATACACCTGTCGTCCTGGCTGCAGCAAACTGCACAGTGCAGCGGCCCTGTAGGCATGCAATGGACTGGAGGATGTTGACATGACATAATAACGCAGCCATTTTTATTCCATGAAAAAAACCAAAAAAAACCAGCCTGACTTCACAGCATGTTATTTCTGAGTGTGTCCCCTCGGAGGATGCTGCGCCTCTCGTGAGTTGTAACCTCACATTGATGCAAGCGATCATCGCAGTGTGTTTACAGTGAGGGCTTCTAAAGATAGCTTCGATATTTTTATGTTCCCTTATTTCTATTTCTATCATCATCTCCCTCTCTCATCCCCTCCTGCCCGCACCAGAGGATGCTGCTGCCGGGAAGCTGCAAGCGTAAATATTGCGCCTCTGGATAAATCACCAAAAGCGGGTCAGCCACAGGAAAACACTGCAAATCACGACTTTACTCACATGCAGATTCGCTTCCCAGCCGCGGACGTCTCCCAAAACCAGGCTGTCTGTCGTCTTGTTTATTTCTGAGCGTCAATTCGGAATACTCTGCCACCCCTTCCTCCTCCTCCTCTTCCTCCTCCTCCTCTACTGCTGCTGCTTCTTCCTCCTCTGAGTGGCACGCTGGCTGCTAATGCTGAGGTGATGCCGCGGGCAGCCTGTGCGCACAGCCCGGCAGGATCGAGGAGGAGAACCACGAGAGCTCGATGATTTCCTTGTGGAGTGAGAAAATACGCACGGTGGCTGCGACGGCGCCCTGGTGCGCAAATCTCATGGGCTGTGGGGCGTCGTCTGAGGCAGGTTGTAGTCAGTACAGTGGGTGAGAGGGAGAGGGAGAGTGCAGAGGAGAGGGGGGGAGAGGATACGCCTCCCTGCCTGCTGGAGATAATGGGGCCCTGGCTGCGCGCGTTGACTGAGATATGGGTCCACCTCTCCGAACGGGGGCCCTGCTGGCTCCCCTCCAGTCTTATCGTGTTATCCAGGGAACCAGGCTCCAGGGCCGGAGCAGAGGAGCGGTGTATACGTGCAGCCCTAAAGACTGGGATCAAATCCAGGTCTGCAGCCACCACAGGAGGAGAAAGGACCGTATACTGTCACATCTGCTGCCCCTCTCCCCCATCTAGTGGTGGAGAGGGTCAAAGTCAACACCCCTCGATAGGGGATTTCACCCTGTTATATAAATATCCCCAGACTGTGAGGCTGCACTTCTCATGTCTCCTATATAGGCAGTGTGCTATTTTAATCAAATTCAAACACATTGAACTGATTACACCGGCTTAAAAACAAATACTTGAAGTATTTTTGCTTCCTCTTACTTTATTCTTCCACTCCTACATCCTGAGAGCAACCAAAAATATGTTGCACCTGCAGCAGACAGCCAGCAGGTGGTGCTCGTGTTGCAGATATCTTCTCTGGTTAGTCCAGGAATCTTCTGCATGTGTAAATTCACTGGTGACGGTTGGAGCAAGAAAAAGTTCTTAGATTTATGAAAAGGTGAATGTTAAGATCCCGCTGCTGCCCAAACCCCTGAATTTTGTTTAAAATCTCACTGGATATTAAAAATGAATTAATTAGTAGTTGTATTTGTGTGCATGTGTGTGTATGAAACCCTAACTGCACTCAGTTGTAAGTTCACGGGCCTTGCAGTAGTTTAGCAGATTAGAAAAGAACCAGAATGGCACTCAGTATACAGCTCACACCTCCACCAAGGCCCAACTGTCTACAAAACCACATTTGAATTCACTACATCTGGGGTTTTATCTGAATTTGCACACACTCATAAATGTAAGTAGCTTTCCAGATTATTTTTGTTTTAATCAAGATCCATGAATTATTCTCTGAGAAATCAAGGACAACAACAGTTGCTGTGGAAACAAGTGTTATAGGGTTATGTAGAGTAAAGGTTCAGACGTCTCTTCACGAGAAAATGAGCTTAGCTGTTAATGTGGGAGTCTATGGGCCTTCTGTTGTCCACATGCTGCACATCCTCATCACTGTGGAGACAAGTAACAGATATTCAAACTATTCAAACTCTCCTGAACTCTGTGGAACCTGAATTAAAACCTGCAAGTGTAATTAGAGTTCAACCTTTGTGATCAAACTGGCAGGCGCCTCTGAGCCAGACAGAAGCTCCGGCTCAGTCGCTGCAGCTTCTCAGGATTTGGGGAGGTTTTGGAGAAGGTGCAGAAGAGAGACACGGACAGGGTTTCTGATGGGTGTGTATTGTCTGAGGACTTAGAAGAACGCTGTGGAAAATGGGAAGTGGCTGATTAGATTTGGGATCCAGTGAGCGTGAATGAGGAGGATTTTTAAGCCTCACTCGGGAAAACAAACGCTTCATTTTCTCTGCGTCTCCTGCTCCTGCTGTACATCACATCCACTTCCATCCCCCGGTCCCTCTGGCCATTGTAACTACAAATCCTGTCACTAGCAAATACAGAAACCCCAAGTAGGCAAAAATACGAACAAGCATGCGTAGGAGGGGAGGGTGGATTTGGAAAACCAACGCAGCCTCCCTTGTGGGGTGTGTGTGCCATGATATCATGATAAACACTGCTGACAGATGAGGGTCAGGCATGTTTTAGTACTGACGTATCTAAAAAAAAATGATTTCCTCCCTCGACAAACAGAAACAGCAAAGGGAGGCAGCGAGCTCGGCTTCAATCTGATAACAATGGTGTTGTTTCACTCACAGAAACACATCAGTTCCATACGTGACGAGAAACCAAACACGGCCTGTGTGTATGTGGGAGGGTTAGCATATGTGTGTTTGCAGCTCTGAGCACCACATGCGCTTGTGTGGGTTTCTGTGGGCACACACAGAAACCATTTGGGCCTTTTCTTGATGTGTTTATGTGAGTTGTGTGTGTGTGTGT